ATCCCCTGAGGATGAACCAAGTTCAAGTTCCTCCTCTGAGCATTCAGAACTATCTTCAAATATTTGTTTCTTGACCTTTTCTACTTTTTTCACTTCGATTTTATCAATTTTTCTTTTCTTCGTAATGCTTAGTTCTTCTATGGCGTCTTTTTCGGGTGTGTTGTCGTAGCTATAATACTTTTGCCCTTTCTTCGCATATTTTTAGTTTTGCGTTCTCCTGCTTTTGGAAAGCCCTTAAATTCGTCTGAGCTTTTAAAAACATCTGTGACAGTCTTGCCATTTTTATCGTTCTGTTGATTGCTATTTTCAATACTGGTGTCTAAGGTCTCATTTTCTATATCCGATATATTTTCTTAAATATTATCACTCACGGATATTTTCTTTGTTGATGTTGATGTACTTGGTAGATCGATGGCTTTTTTTTTGGCTTACATCATCTTTTAAATCGCGATCGGTAACAGCGCTTGGTAGAAAGTCTATATCTGTGAAGACATTGGCATCGTATGGATATATACCACACTTTTTAAATGAATTTATAATATTGCTCGGTGTGAGAGCTTTTTCATGAGCAAAGCCGACGCACTCAGCTACCTCATATATGGTGAAAGGCTTACCTGGATGTTGCATCATCCAGGTATCTACAGATGCATTATAACATGTTGAGAACGCTTTGAATACCCCACATCTAGTGGTTGCATCTTATTTGTGGAATGAGGAGAAAATGTTAGAATTGTTACTCCGTTGTCAACAACCTTTGCTGATTTTTGAACAGTCGTAGTCGCAGTCTCATCCAAATTGTAGATTCTTCTTCCGTCAGCAAACGCATTAGTTCTTGAATATATATTCTTCAAATTTTGGTAAAAAATTGAAACATTATGTCTATTAAATGGCGTCGCACGGGATAAACTACATCCTTCGGGGGTGCGAAGCGACAGTCGAACATGTCTTTGGCGAAAACCTTTCATCCATTTCAGCCCTGCCATTTTTCTTTAATGCCAATTAGCAGGAATTTTCTTCTTATTTTCGATTGCCATTTCATAGGCAAGTTTTCTACAATCGTCAACAGACAACCCATAAAGCTTATGATATAGTTTTCTAGGGAATCTTCTTCTGCGGACGTAAATACTTTATTAATACTGTAGTTGGGCCTCATCCGTATTTGACTTATGTTGTCAACGTCTCTGGCTTTCTTAACATATCCAGCCAATGTCTGAAATGGTATATCTTTCAAAGCAGCTACTTTTCTCAAAGATCCTCCTTCTCTGACCAGATTTACTGCTTCTTTCATTGTTTCCTCTGCGTAGTTTCCAATTTTTCTTTTCTTTGGATCCATAATTAGCCTGCAAAAAAAATATTTGATCACATATGCCCAACAGTGAGACAGTGCCCAACAGTGAGACACTGTCTCACTGTTGGGCACGTGTAGTCGGCAGCCATTTTGTAACCTCACTTATACAATAAAATTTATAGAGACAAAATGATCCCACTCTTGTAATCTACATAAAAAACACTTACCTTTAACCTAGGCAGATCACCAAAATACTTTATTTTACTTTCGAAAACACGATCTGACAAAACTTGAAAATATTTACTTACGCACGTGGAAATTAAATTAATTTAAGCGGCGCGTGCATCTCTGCCAGCCGCGTGTTCAACACTGTCGGCGATTACTTGTTGGTAAGTAAGGTTTCTGCTCACCAATAGAAAACCTAGTCGGTCGCGTGATAAGTGGGGGAGAGACAGTGTCTCACTGTAGAACCTGGCTCACTGTTGGGTTGGCTCCCCTATTCCTGTTCTCTCTGTTTTTGTTATATTTTTTATGTTTACAAAACGCACTAATTGGAAAAAGTAAAAAAAAAACAAATGCGGTGCTGTCTTAACTTAAAAAAATGTTAAGGTAAAATTCTTATAATTTTATGAGAAATTCACCTTTACCCTTTGGGCCTCTAATTTTGGGACACCCTCTATATAACTATTTACTAGCTTCATAAAATAACAGTTTTCAGTATACGTACATGCCAAGTTAACGGTATGGTTTTTGACAATTTACGTAGCAGTCGTAAATAAAATATTTAAAAGTGCAGCACAAGAAGTATAATAAATTTTGGGCCTACCGGTGCAAGCCTATGCTTCCCTTTAAAATTATTTTAAAGATAGGCATAGGCTTGTACGGTCTAAATTTAAAATGATTGTTGTACTGCACTTTTAATTATAGTTATTATTATATAATTATTATTGTATGCATACATGTCACCATCAATGACAACATACCCATTAATTAATAAATCGTCTAAACATTTTATTAATTTTATTTTTACACCTTAAATTAAATATAATTTTATTCATGTGTGAAATTTTAACATAGCTCGCTTGCGTAATTTCAATTATTAATTTTAGTTTTAAACTGTTTTACATCTATTACAAAAGGCAGAATCATTATCATGGGCCGGAAAACTACATGATATGCAGATAAATTGAACATTTTCAGAATGTTGTATTATTTTCCTTAACAAGCATTTTCTTAAGTCATCCATAGACATTTTTGAATCCAATGGCAAACTCTTCAGATATTGCTCTACAAAGTAAATAATATAAATTCCACAGTTATATGAATCACATTCTATTAAATCATGTTTTAAGGTTCATTAATTTGGATCATTAATTTTGTTTCTAAACATTTTAAAATATACCTTAGCATCTTTAGCTTTAGCACAAAAGGGGTTTATATACGATAATTTAAATTTTTTTAAATTAATTATTATAACCACCCAATGATTATTATTAATATGAAACGGCATTATTTTAACTTAGTTTTCTACAAAATTAATTTGCACAACATAATGTTACTTGAGCTTTGTAATTGTTTCCTTTGTAAATAACATATAACAACATATACAGGGTATTCCAACGAAAACTTGTACCCCCCCAAACGTTTTATCGGATGAGTGTGGAGAAAATTCGGCGGGAGGGGGCGTGAAACACATAAAAATTCGTTCCCCTAAAAATAAAAATTGACGTGTCCAAGGAATTTTGTCCACACTCATCCAATAAAACGTTTGGGGGGTACAAGTTTTCTTTGGAACACCCTGTATATTAATGTATTGGTTAACCATCCATTATATCCCACAGATCTTAAAACTATAATATCTTGAATGGCTAATTCATTAATGAGCGATTTTAACTGTTTAAAAATTGCTAGATAATACCCTATCCCTGATTTGGTTTTCTGGTAATAGTCTCCATTTGCCACTATACCATTGAGGAAAAGCATGAGTGGTTTATTTTGCAGTAAAAGGACAAATTTAAATCTATTGTGTAGGTAATAAATGAATCATGTACCCAACACATGCATGAACCCACTGCACAGTTACATCTAATGCACCCTTTTTGCAATAACAGTCGTTTAAAATGGGTTCTTCTTGCTTTTCTTGTTTTTTTAATTTTTTTCCTGAAAAACTTGTTGGAGGTTTTTTTTCTTGCCTCAACAAATTTACTTTATTTTTGTTTATTGTTAGTTTTCTTTTTGTAAGTTTATTTTTAGGAATTTTTAATTTCAATTATTATAAAATACACAAACTTTAAAAATTCCCTGAGCCCACCCCAAAAGATGTGCCTAAACAAAACCCCCTGGAATTGTTTTATTTATATGTTAACTTTTGCCACCCTCTTATCACAAATTTATTTCTTGCATGTTCATTATAGTCAATTTATTTTTTAACTGATGTTTCAAAATCTTTCTTTAACCTAAGCGAAACCTACAAAAATGGTTAGACCTAAAACTCATGAAAACCCAGCAAAGAATGGATTCCCAAATTATTTCCTACAAGTAAAACTGTTTAAACGTTTATTTTTTCACTATATGACTTGACGGATATTCCTTCGTGTTGTAAGTAGTTAAGTTCTTCGATTAACCTGTTAAAAGTTGTTACGTTCCGAAAATGCTAGCAATGTAGTTATATATATTGGGTTATTTTTATTAGATTTTAGTCTTGACAGTTGATATGGGTATAGATTTCATTAAATATGAATAAAAATCATATAGATTTTTATGGATAATTATCCCCGTGAACAGATGACGTAATATTATAGTATAACGCCATCTGTTGACGGGGAGTTCAACCAATAGGTTGAACGCCATCTAGGTTTATGGTTTCGTGATGTTACTTTGAGGTGAGGTGAGACGATTTTGGAAAACGTTAGTAACCGTTGTTTGTGTTGGCTGTCATCAAATTCAGGGTTCCTTTACCAGGGTCCCTCTCTGGAATTATTACTCATAATTGCTTCCCGAGCACTTTGTCCATGCTTCTGTCACTACGTACACCGTCTACCTTTGGAACCTCGATAACCCTGAGTGGTTACAACCCTAGTACCGCTGTTACTCTGCATACAGAGCGATTGCAACCGGACCCTCAACGATTGTATTAAAGTTTAGTAAAACAAGACCGAAACCCTTCAGACGTTGTTTTTAGTAAATTGTGTACACTAAATATTCATTAAATATTAATATAGGAGTCTCGATAGTGGTTCCTTTGACCCTGAAACCATTTTAATTGTTTATAAACTATATTTCTGCTGTAAACCTTTTCGTGGCCACCAAAATGGTATTTTCACTTAGTTGTTATAGAATAAAACCAGAAACTTTATGCTTTCTACACTCAAAAAACCATAAATTTTTCAAATCAGAAAAAGATCAGAAAACCTATTGACTGTCAATTTTTTTGACAGATTTTGACATTTAATAATTTTGTACTAGTGATACCTTATTTTAAAGGCCTTATAATTCCCTTCATTTCGGCGTATTACTTTTTAAAATCGGTGGGTTTGTTCTCGAGATATTAAATATTAAAATAAATATTTCGAAAACGAACCAACTGACTTTAAATACTAATACGTCAAAATGTAGTGAATTAAAATAAGGTATCACTCAATAGGTATTTAATAAAGAATAAGAATTAATAAATGTATTTAATACAAAATTATTAATTAAATTAACAATATTTTTAATTTTTCGTTTCCTGTTCTTTTTCCTCTTCTTCTTCCGCCTTCTCCAGGAGTGGCGCAAGATCCCTTCGCAACCTAAGTGCTCGGCGGGGTTTTAAGGACTCGAGGACCTCCCACACATATGCCGCAAATTGTGCATTTTTCCCCACATTTGAGCTGCTGCTAGCCGTTGCTTTAAAAAGTCCCCGAAGTTGGCTGTGAGGCCTCGAGCACCAATTTATTAAGCTTTGCGGTGCCAAATTGGCGCTTATGTCCTCGTCCTACAACGCAATGGGGATAATAATTATTGCAATACACTGGTTTCATGCACTTTGAACTTACCGGAGGGGGTGGCTGCCACGTTAGTGTTTCTACCTTCGGGGTGCAATGGATGACTAGAGACCGTGATCAGGATGGCCCAGCGGAACAGCTCGCAGTGCTGGTCCTTCACAGGATTCTCAACGGGCTCCGTGCTAGCATGAAGGCTCTGTTCTATGAGCACCCTTTTTGTTTGAGACGTCTTCCTGGCAATTAAAAATGTTTGTTGGTAGTTTAAAATCTATTTAATCACATATTACCGTGAAATGGGGTGTAATTGATCAATTTTTTGTTTTAGTTCTTTATAAGTTTTTTATACATCCGATTACAAGACATTTCTAGTAGATATAACAAAATATACGTATAGTAGAAAATATACTTGCTACTAAAAATATGATAGGTTAGTTGGTCTCGGCAGAATTGGCAATAAATCAGCTGATCAAACTTATACATGTTTTGGGGTGACTTTGATCAGTTTCCTTTAATTACTGTGGGTTAAAGTATAACGAAGGACATTGTGATCAATCTAACCCCGATTAAAGTTCAATTATTTTTTAAAAAGTTACGTTAAATTTTATATTTTGGGGTGGGATTGATCACCTAGTGCCAAATTGATCACCTAAATTTTAATCATATCCTCATGTAAGAATCAAGTTTGTAAAAAAAATACACGTTATTTTATTATATTTTTATAAAATTGGAATGCAAACATAAGGAAAAACATAAGTAAAACGCAGTTTAAGCAAACTCAAAGCTAAAAGTAATGTTTGTGATGTATAGGCACTAAGGCAAAATATGAATGGTCGACAAACTAAGAATATTAACATATTATATCATTAACATATTATATGCAATGATGTCAACTACATTTCTTTGACATCTATTATCTTCTTAAAAATATAAAATTCTGTGGCACCGTCAAGCGTGGGTTGAGGTAAAATAGCGATAACGTCTATGAAATCTACCGAGAATTCATCGTTTTCTTCTACTTTGAAAGTTTTCTTTGTTTTATCTAAAGATTTCATCCCCAAAACTTCAATTTCTTCATCATTCGTAACGTTCTGAACAATGACTACATAACGATAAGTAACACTTTTTCTCATTCCACCAAGAACTCTAACCAGTAAAAATGTTCGTTTTTTTATATCGTCTATGTCTACTTCCATATATTCCGTTTCTTCGATTTCCTGTAATGACATAATAGCATTTTCGGCATCTATATCATCATCAGAATCATCATTAGTTATTGGGTCTTCTATATCACTCTCTGAACTACTGGATTCTGTAGTTTGGGCAGTGACACTTTTGCCCGGTTCGACAACAAGCTTGGTTCGCTTCCTGTTACGCCGACTTGGTGTATTAGAAAACCTTTGCTGCTTTAAATATTCAACAACAATATTTTGAATTTGACCTTCCTCAAGATCTTCCCTGGGTAGCTTCTCCAGCACACGGTTTGCGTTGACAGGTACTATACCGGTTGCCTCGAATGAAGATATCAAGTCTCTTTTAATAGCATTTTGATATTTATCTTTTGAGAATTTGTGATCCATGTGGACTAATGTTTTTTGAAGCAACTGTGGAAAATCTTTTTTGTCAATGGAGGAATGCGTTGGATAAGCTTTTTTTCAATTAAGAAGAACTTTCCGCCAAGCCATTTTAAATGGTCTAAAGAAACCAACATTTAGCGGTTGACATAGGTGCGTGGCATTTTTTGGTAAACACACGAACCCAATTTGTGTTATAACGCTGTTATTCCTTTTTAAAAGTGAATAAGCCCAATCCATACCGGGCAAGTTGTCCTTTAGTATTTGTACTGAACGGCCCTGAGCATCCAGCATATTTTTTGCCATGTGCCTCAAATCGGTTAAGCTAAGTGGAAATCCCCATTCACCACACACTGTTGCATATTTAAGGATAACTTTTTCCTCGTTTGAATTAAATGGTGTTTGCCCACCGCTATTCCTTACGTGACGCCCATGAAATCTATTATTTAAGGTACCATAAGGAATTTTTAATCTTTTTGAAGCCTTCCTCAAGCTCCAGCCTTCCTCCGTAACTTTCTGCAATGCATTTTCAATGGATTCTTCATTATAATCTTTATATCTGCGTGCCCCTAACTTTCTTTTGTAAGACCTTGGCATTTTGAATACTATCTAAAATAAAACCGTATTTCAATAAACCAGTATTTCAATAAACCAGAAACTTTACGTTTTTAATGCGAACTTTGATCAATCTCGCCCCAATATAGTGAACAATTTCACCCCACCATAGTGATCAATTTGACCCCAAGTAAACAAATTCAAAATTCCGATTGAAGTGCCAACAATGGAAGCAGCATATTAAGGTTAGAATACAAAAGCATACCAACAAATTTTGTAATGCAAACCAGCATATTTTCAATAGTTTTTGAAAAAACACACAATTTTTTAAAGGTACGTATTTGATACAAAAATTACTTACCTATATAAAAGCAAATATCACCAATAAAACAAATTTAAACAGACTCTAAAACACACAAGATCATTGCGGACGCCATTATTAAACACGATTTTCTCGGCGACGCGGTCGACAAATAGATAAAGCGCGCGGGAATTTTGAATATTTATAGCTTGGAAGAAGTGGTCAAAGTCACCCCCTAAGATCATAAAATGTCATTGCGTTATAAAATTGCCATGTTGGCCCACTTCTCCTTGGAATATTTATCCGGCAGGGTCTTCCACAGTCCTTGACATTCAACAACTGTAACACGTTACATAAATATATGACTTAACGTTAATTGTGGATTTTTAAATTGTTAATTGACAATTGATGCGCTTCTTATGAAAACAGCCAATGTCCAAATTGATATTTATATACACTTATATTTTAAATTAATATTTAAAAAAAGTAATATAGGTCCCATATGACATTCAAAATATATATTTGTATGGAAAATCCACACGTTTAAATAACACTTAACGGCACAAGTCTATCTTTATAAGTTTTTATGATTTAAATAAGAAATAATTAGCTAAACATTTTTAGAGTGACAAGAAGCGCCTCAATTCTTAATAATTCAAAATGGTTCAAATTGCAAACTATTAATCGGGATTTACCTAGTTTAGTTTTATTTTTCACCTGTAATTTCCATCACATTGAATATTTGGAGCTCCTTCATGCGGGCATCCTTATGATTTTTATTTTTTAGATCCCATAAATGGGGAAACGATTCCATCAAACTTAATAACAAAGGAATATCCATCTTAAAGATCAATCACGATTATAACCTTAAACAGCACTGTCAAACACTAAACTTACAAGGCGAGCCTGCCAATCACAGAACTGAAAACTGCCGTTTGATTGGCTGGAGTGGCGGTTGAGGTAAAAAAGATGAAAAAAGGTTATCTCTTGTCGCTACGTTCTTGCCTTTCTCAGCCATTTGTCTAACAGATTTAACTCCTTACCAGAAACAAATTACCGAAATGTAAATTAACCTGAAAACGGATTTTATTACAAAAAATAGTAAATTATATTATGGACATAATTTTATCTAAAATCGGATTTTAAACCTCAATTTCTATATTTACGAATAAAATTATTTACAAATAAAATTAATATTATTATTATTAATAAAATTATTTACAAAAGATTTACTTTTTTTTAAATTTCTTCGATTTTACAGTCGTTAATTACAGTAATTATAAACATCAAAGCTAGGAGGTTGTCTATGCGCCTCTGTATTTTACTTGACCTTTAGATAGGTATAACGCATATTTTGATATAAAATAATATATAAAAAACGCAGTGGTCTAATAAAGCCGGTAAAGTAGGTGACGAGTAATAAAGGTACGTACCTGCACCAACAGAATCACGTAGAATTTTCAGAAACAAGCACAATAAATAAACCACCTACAGGTTTCCAATACGACTAATGAACTGCTCTAGTCAAGACCATGATACAAGACCATTTGACCAAAAATCATCCCCACCAATATTCCATTTTGTAAATAATAAAGTAAAGTGGCATAGATGACCCTTACCTTATGAGACACAATATCTAGAGCCTTAAAAATTAATCAAATTAAAAAAAAAAAAATGATAAATGGGGTAAACTTTACGTTTACTCTGAGTTTATAAGGATTAACTTTAAAAACAGTGCAATTTACATTAAAAAAAATATTTTGCACATTTAGTTTCTAGTGAGGGACCGGTAGCGTAGGTGACATTATAAGTATTAGTATCTTTCCGCAACCGTTTTAAAATAAATATTATTTGGAATAATTAGAGTTGGTGAGAAAGAACTGGAAATGCTAACATCCGGAACTTGACTAATAACAAAACTGATAACAAAACCGTTAGGCTGAATAATAACAGAAGTAGAGTTGTTAATTTGTTCAATATTGCGAAACGCTTGGTGAATACCCCTGGAAACATTGCGATTAAATTGACGCTTACAACAGGTCTTTTGTTACGCCTTAGCATTGTCACGGTTATTCGGAGTCTTGGATTTTTTCTACAACTTTACACTTTTCCAACTTTTCAGCCGATCAGGTGCATGCTTCAGCCAAATCTTAATAATATCTTACTAGTTGATTTGTTAGTTTTAACAGCACCTAGTAAATAACAAGGTTTATAAAATTAGAAATATTATTGTAAACTGAAACACTTACGAATAACTATATTTTTTAAAGTTAAGTCAGAGAATGGCTTATTTTTTGACCTTGTTCCACAAAAATTATAATGCTTCATTCTCTCCCAGCCGCGACAAGTGTGTGCTTTAAAAAGCGAATAATTAAGTTTTTGTGAATTTCGCCTTACCAATGCTGAGGAATGTTCTCCCTTAGATGTCTATCCAACATTTGTAAGTCACCAAGTGACTTTACTGGCAACACCACAGGAAAATCCGGCAAGCATTTGCAGGTCTTTGAATCTGTTGTTTCTGTTTATCAAGTCTCGATATTATCTGATTATTTTGCTCCTTTGGGTAAACCAAGTCCGCGAGGATCTTCCTTATCGCCGCTAAAAATAACAAGTTAAATAATCCAAAGAGACTCAATGGGTGTTAGTTCTTAATAATTGAAGAGGGATGTAAGAGTGGGTTTAGGTATGGAGGCCAAAACACCTCCGTTTTTCTCGGCGTTATCCAATCTCTTCTCACTACAGATAAGCTTCCTTCCTGGTCCAATGGAAATTCCATGAAAACAAATGCCATCTTATTCCTAAAATAATTAAATCTTGTCAAAACAAACCAACGGCCGCATGCACTGGCCAAGTATACGCCATTAAATGTAAACAATTTTGTACTCACCTTCGATAAATTGATATATAAATATTAAAACTTAAAACAAATAACCATACAATTGCTTTCTTTTTAACTGGGTTTTTATGGACACCGCGGTTAAAACCATAAAAGCTAGACTTTCAGGGACGCAGCAACATAACATAAGGAAGCGGCCATTTTAAATTATTACCGAATGACACCGACTGGCGAGTTGGTTAAAGTCTGTTTTATATAAATGCGAATTGAAAAATACGAATATTCGCATTTCGCAAATATTTTAGGGACATTGTTTTCTCACTTGGCGATATTTTCCATGCTATTTTAGGTACTAAAATAGTAAAGTTACTATAAAGGTAAAATAAGAAACATTAATGTACCTCAAAAAACTCTTTGTCCATTAAAAAAAAACAAAAAAAACTTCAAACAATTATTTAAACAATTCGAATGAAACTCAAAATAAGAAACACCACGATACAAACGAAATAAACATAAATGGCGTAGGTATGATAATAATTCATTATAAACCAAAATTTATTTTGGATTAATAATATATATAATATATTTTTAATGGAAAATTGTTTGTAAAAATAAATTTTAGAAACCGGTGGTTCCCTCAAATCAACTACCCATGTTTTCGGTTTATTAAATAAATAAATTAAAAATAAATAATAATAAATATAAAATAATAAATCTTTATTATCCAATAGACCATAGACATGGTATAGGACAACATTAGATTACATAGAATTGTTAATTATTTACATACAAAAATATTCTTCTAAATTGTAAAATACATTATTGGTAAAGAATAAATACAATTGACTTTTAAAAACCTTAAAACTATCAATATTCTTTAAAGACCTAGGTAGTTTATTAAACAATTTGATGCCAACATAAATAGGATTATTTTCATAAATAGTATAAGAGTGTCTTGGGATAACCAAATCATCCCTATTACGAGTCAAAAGTAATTTTTGGCAATATGCTTTAATATAAAAAAATAGAAATTTCTATTAACAAGTAGGTACTGTTAGCTTACTCAATAATTTATATTTTATATTAATACAACACTTATTCTCAAGACGTTATTTATTCCAACTACCAGTACATTTTAAAGTCCTATCCGCAGGTGGTCCACTTGAAAATATCGACTTTGCAGTCGCGGGGCCTTTTACAGTACATAGAAATGTAACTAAATATAAAATCTTAAAAAAGTTTCCAAGTGCATTTATTCTCTTCGTCTCCAGAATCACTATTTAGTTTATTTTTGCAGGCAGCACAATTTATCTT